TTCACAGTTCCCTTCACATGGAATCATAAAATTTTCATTTCCACAGGTACCAACCTGAGATGATAATCCTGCCTGTTGATCAAAGCATTGGAAATTGGTCTGACACTGAAGATCAGTCCCGCGGTCTGTGGGCAGCATGTTGGTGTGCCCCTCTTTAAAGATTGAGGAAGAGCCATTACACTGCTTTTTATAGGGGAAAACACCCAACTCATTGTCAATTTTTCCCTTGAGGTCAACCAGGATGCTCCTCAACCTCAAAACCTCAGCTTCAAGATGTGCATGCCCTTGTAGCTTCCTAACTAATTGCTGATTCTGCAGACGCAATTTCTTAACTTCCTCCTCTAGGTAAGCAGTCTGTGCCTTCTTCTTCTCCCTATACTTTCGAACAGCTTCTCTATTACCCGAAGGCCGTTTTCGTTTTGTGTTGGTATGCTCCTTATCATCTGTATGATCATCTTCTTCAGACGCAATGACTTGGGTGTGTGTGTGGTAACATGTGTGGGTATGTGCTGCATCTGGGCCAGGAGGGTTGCAAGTGTGAGTATGGGTGCATGTTCTGGTGTTCCTCAAGAATTCATTGATTTTATTCATGGATGTTGAAGACTGAACATTGCTCGACGATTCTGGATTCGACAATAAGAAACCATCTGAAAGCTCAACATCTCCATCATTCATATTTCCTTTATTTGCTTTGAATGATATTGCAGTGGCTTATCGACAGAAGAGAATATCTGCAACATCCAATTTTAAAGTCAAGGCAAATGCAAAGAACTCGCAAATGATTTTGACTTTACGTTACTGGCACCAACTCAGATAAAGCAGAAACCGATTATTGTCTCCAGTTGATAATATTCAAGAATATATTCAAAGAAGCATTTCTGTAGTCCTGAAGAACATATGAAACGAAGCCACTATCTCTAAAAGATACGTGAAACATCAAGCCCAATCTAGATATTCATGGCCTAAGATTTCAGAATCAGCTTAACAATTTATAGATTACCCAGATGGATTCTCCCCACTATAATCCAGAATCGAGAAGAAAGGCTAATTTTTGATATTGAAATAACAATTGGGGTTAGAGAATCCGGGCAAAAATTGGGACGCGAAGACAGACAGATTATGAACACCAGAAATTAGAATCGGAATCAGAGAGAAGAGCCAAAAGAAAGGTACAAATCGTTGAATAAGCTATAAATTTGAAGCACAACCATATACAGTAATCATGGTAACTGCGAAAATCTGCTACTTTAGGCCCAAAGAAGCACCTCCAGAAATCTGAATCGCTATGCCTCTGTTCCTCGATCCTGGATTCTTCTATACTTCTCGTCAAAGAAGCGTAACTTGTTGATTGAGATTTTCCGCTAAACTACAGTTGGGCTGACCCCGAAGCTCTATGAAAGATATTTTAATTAAATTATTATGGCAATTGCTAATTAAAGTTTTTCCTTTTTCTATCAGAAGGGGGGGGGGGCACTTAAGAACTGGATTCCATAATTGGATACTAAAAGATTCCATATCTAAGAACACGCATAACAACAAATTTGTGTGTGTCCCAATTCGTTTGGATAAAACGTGTTTGTCTGCATATTAGGAGTGTTTGGATAGGATAAAAAAAATTTTAAAAATATTTTTACAGATATACAAAATAAATATATAAAAAAGTTTGTCTCATCTTGTTACTTTTGGGTGCTTCCAAACACCCTTTTAATCGATTGCATTAGAAGAATTAAATTTTTCTTTGTTCCGTTCAATATCAATATATCTGTGAAAAAAACTAAGCCAAGTCATCAATAGTTATTTATACTCCTCCTCTCCTCTCTCGTCCACAGCATATAATCTTTTTTTTCTTTAAAAAAAAAAAACGTTTTTGGGGGCATTTTTACACTTTCTTCTTTCTTGGACCCCCTCTATTTATGGGCAAGGATAATGCGGGGCACACTACTGCTTGTCTGATGTAGGGAACTTTAAAACTTAAAAGTGGCCTGTTGTTGTTTCTGTCTATTTAATACCCACGCCACTGGGCATTGGCCAAGCATGACAACTACGTTTGGCTTTTCTAAGTTTCATTTGTCTTGGTGCAACTGAATTTATGAACTTTAATTTCATGAAACTCAATCATTAGTTTTTATATTTTAAAAAAATTATGTATTTTATGAGGTGTTAAAATTTTAAATGGTTACAATTATAGAGATTGAACGGCAATAAGTTAAATGATTGAATAATACAAAATCAAAACTTAACAACCACAATGTAAAAATCAAAACATTAATTTTTCTTTATAATTTTGTTTTGTGCTATGGCACAATACCCATGCTTCTCAATCAATGTTCCCCTTTAAGATTGAATGAAAGAAACCTGAAAAATAAGTTATTTTTTTTAAATTATAGTACTTATTATGAAATGGAGGGAGTAAATGTTTTTTCTCTACAAAGTACAAGGGTTATTTTTTTTTTTAACTCTTATCATTAGATGAGATGTTGAGTATTGTTAACTCACAAAATCATTCAATGTCATTATAATATTTAATATAAAAATATAAATCACTTCTTAAAAATGAATTGTAAAATTTGTGAGAAAAAGTGTGATTATAAAAAAATTATGACAAGTGAACAAGTAGAGATTTTCTTTGGAAAAATTCTTAAAAAATATCTCTTGACTTTCAAAGCTCTAAATTAGCCTTATTTATTATATTTTGATAGTTTAACAGCAATTAACTACTTTTGAAAAGTAAATGATAATTTTTGTAAGAATTATTATTTGAGATTTTGAAATTAAAGAGATTTTTTGTTGTGGGGGGCTATTTTTCTTCAGTGCAAATTTCCAGTAATTTTTCCTAATTTTTAGCAGAGCAATGGAGGCGTCAAGCCGTCAACGAACAAGGTGAAGGACAATAACGACAACAATTTTCCCATTCTTTGAAACGGGAAAGCTAACCCGTTTAAGGTAGTTGATCTGTATGATGAGAGCGTTGTCTAATACATTTCGCTCTGTTAAGCACCCAATTGCTAACCCTAATTCGCCCAAATTATCTTCCCCATCTTCATCATCCTCATCATCTCCTGTTTCGAATTCACTTCCCGAATTGAGGCTTAATTCCAAATCATCCTCTTGGTGTGTTTATCTCATCATTGCCACTAGTCCCCCCGTCAAAACCTATGTTGGTGTCACGACTAATTTCACTCGCCGGTATGTTCAATATCAAGTCTTTTGATTTCATGATGTTTTGGGCTATTTGACAAATGATTTTTGTGCTCAATGTGCATTTAGCTTGGATTTCTCGAGGTTCAATGGGCATAGTATTGTTTTCATAAATTATAATTATATTAGGCTTCAGGAATTCAGCACACAAGTATTGTTGAGTATATCTGAGATGAAATGGATCGTGCTTGAATAAGCACGTTTTGTCTACTTGGTACTCAGATTATTTCTGGGGCTTAGAATCCGTATGAAGAATTTAGGTGTGAAGTGCTGATTCCATGAAATAACTATTTTTGGTTTGAGTTGGCAAAGAATGGTTGTAGAAGAATACAATGCCTTTTTGATGGAACTTGTAACTTTTATAGGATATATGTGGCATGCTTAAAAATTATGTTTCGTTATGGAAACAGCAGTTTTTGACACCAATAAAGCTGTCTGTTTCAATTGGGAATTGGGGATAGACATACATGCACATCTCCTTATCAATATTTAAAATTTTGTACATTTGGAAGTTGTATATACTTGCTGTTTTCGAGTAGTTGGTTTGATTTTAATTTTAACGATTCATCCAAAAATTAAGAAACTTCTATGGTTATTTGTGGTCTTGATTACTTGGAGCAATTCTTACTACTTAGTACTTACTAGCTGCTCTAAATTTTATTTTTACAAGTTCATTTTTTTTTCCTAGCTCGTGCCAACCAGTGTGATACTGATATTTCTGAACCTTTTGCCAAGTTTTATAGTAGATCCTATGTTCTTGGAAACAGCCACCAAATCCAGTGTATTTTCCCCATGCTTGTTGACATAGTTAATTACTTAATATATCAGGTTGTTTGTTGCTGAAAAATATGGATGGAGCTTTGTGTGCTGAAGAAAATTCTTCATCTAGAACAAGTATCCCTAGAGATTATAAAGCCAAGATCTAGCCAGGATCCATTGTTCACCTATGTTACAATCAACCATAACCACTTACTTTAGCAAATGGACTGAGAATGATCGAGAGCCTACATTTTGCCAGTGAGATCCCTGGAAGTGACTCGTTTGCACTGTTTAATAACATTGCAGGAGAGCAAAGAATACAGGACTGGCAAATTTAGTTAGCACTGAAGAGTGCACGGCATATAATCTGCAATGCTGCCCTGTTGCCAATGGAACCTGAGTACCAAGATTAGCTAATGTCATTAGTAAGTTTGCACTGGATTATTAACATTGCATGTCAAGTGAAAACTGTTTGTTAAGTCATGCATAGGGATTGTCAAAAATGCAAAATTTAGGGAACAGAAGCAGATGCAAAATGGTACAGAGGATAAAAAGTTCATTAATACTGAAAGGGGATGAGCAAACAAGAGCAACGACTTAATGCTGAAGGAAGACTAGTTCAGAATCATCAAAGATGCTTTTGGTGCATAATACATAATTATGATGGAATTGAGGTTCTCTCTTTCTGCTTCTCACCAGAAGTGGAAGCTTTGAATTGTTAGACTGACTTTTGCTTCTGTGATTAGGATATCGAATTTGGTATCTACATAAGAATATACTTATAGGGTGCAAAAGCTATCCTTTTACATGTTACTCCAGCTGTCAGCAAGTCAATTCAGCTGATTAAAAGTGAATTAATACTTTCCTGTATGGCATTGATAGACTGCTGTTTTTTTTTTTTTTTAAATTAATTTTTTAAAAATTGTGTAGCTAATGCCTAATTCTGCTTTCTTCTCAATTTTTAGAATTTTGAAATGACATCACAGTTCAGCTCAAAAAAAAAAGAAATGACATCAAAGTATGTCATGGATTTCAAGAAATATATATTTGATGTACATATCTTAATGGATGTAGTTTGAAGCAACATAATGGTGAAATCAAAGGGGGTGCAAAAGCATCCCGTGCCGGCAGGCCATGGATCTGTGCATGCATCATTTGTGGTTTTACAGACAGAAGTGAAGGTATATATCTAGTTTGCTTTTTCATTTTTATTTGCATCTAATTACGTGTTCTGGAGAAAAGAAAATGTTGATTTGCTGCTTACCTTGAAGCTTATATAAAAACTTTCGATGATCAAGAATGCTGATAGCTATAGTAGTTATTTATTAATTGTAAAATCCATACTTTCTTAATATTCTTGAGAAGAATGAGATGAATGCTATTCAGTTGCTTTTAGCATGTTCATCCCATTGGCTTTTGTCACTGATCAACGTGAACTCCAGTTGTCACATTTGAAAACGAAAGCGGAGAGCAAATTTGTCTGATTTTACTTTCTATTCTTTCGGTGTTAAAATTCTAATCATGCAATATGTTTGGTGAACTTCAATGATGTGTTAACTTTGCTGAAGGGAATATTTCCGAGTTTCATACATCATGCAACCCTCAATCCTATGCTAGATGATAACCATGAATTGATTCATTTTGAGCTTTGACAAAAATTTCCAGTGACCTAATATTTTTAGTCATGTTGATAGCTCTATTAATCATCTAAACATTCATTTGTAATGAAGTTCTTTTAATATTGCTTTTAATTGTTCGCATTTCCAGTAAAAGCATAACAAGTAGATGTTTTTAGACGCTCTGCATCACATGCTTAAATGTTTCAGAAAATTCCTTAATGCATGCTAGTATATTCATCGAAAACCGGATAATACCTTGGAAAATTTCAACTGAGTCAGGTCCTTTCTGAAATCTCTAGTTCCGCTATTTTGAGATATTCAAACTCAAGATATTATTGTCGTATTTTATGTTTAACCTCTGTATAATTTGCAGCATTCAATATAATTCTTTTTTTTTTTTTTTGGTTGAATATTTTGTTGTTTCCCCCATTTTAGCTTGTATGTTTGAATCAAAATGGAAAGCTTCGTCAAGAGAAGTTCCCCGGAAAAGGCAAAATAAGCAGATTGATGATTCATCAACTGCATTGCTGCAGCAGAGACAGGAAGCTCTAAACAGAGTGAAAAGTTCACTTGATTGCAATCACTTGCAAATCAACTGGCATTTGAATCCATTGTGATTCACCGTCCAAGATTTTTAGTGACGTGCCTAACGAATTATTTAATTGCAATCTGTCCAAATGCCAAGGACAAAGGACACGACTCCAAATATTTCAAGTGCAGTTGTACCATATAAATTAAAGGGTTCTTGTAAACTAAAAATAAATATCATTTTCCCTCATTTTTATCTTGCTCCCATTTTCTTTTTTTCCGACTTCTCTCCTTACCCATAGAGCACTGTAAAGAGACATGTTACTGCTAAAGAGACAGGAAGATCGTGAATTTACAACAAGAAGTCTTATTCCACTCCTAGCTGGATTATCCTCTCATGTCATTGTATTATGTCACTAACCAACCTTTTAGACAAAACACCCTACCTACCCTAATTTTCAAAAAGGCATAAAGTGAAAAGACTGGATGCATTGATTATGACTTCATATGCGGCCTAACTAACCTCTAATCCTCCTTAGCTTCAAAACAAGATCTATTCGTTCCATTCCTCCGGTGGGGCATCACAGCTGCAAGCGACATGCCATGCAGATCAGCACGCTTGCTTCAAGTAGTGCCGGCTTTCACTTCAGTGTCCACTGACTTGAAAGGAATGCCAAGTCCCTTTCATCAATTGAACATAGGTCGGGAAGCATTTGAAAATAAGAGGTAATGATTGTGGTTAAGATTAAAAAAATATGTTAAAAAGGTATTTAGTATGAGCGATTACTTGCTACTTAGAATTGGGTTAATCTATATATATGGGATTTGAGAGTACTATGGGGCTAATCTAATTTAGATGGAGAGGTTAGTTTGCCTGCCAACATTCACTGTCCAATGAAACCAAGTATAAATTTTGGTTAAATGATGATGATATCCTCCCCCGTTATCGATAGAAAAGCTACTTAATTAATTCAATTAATTTGTTTATATCATTAGTTAATTATAATAAATGTTTTTTTAAAATATTTTATATGTTAGTTAAATTAATTTGACAAAAAATAATAAATATATTCCCTCTTTCTTTCTTTTTTTTTAATAAGGAACAATCTCTCTTATAGTTTTGTATCTGAATATAAGAAGTAAATCCTTTTTGCCTGAAATTGTAAACTTATCTTTTCATTTTTTTTTCCCCCATTAAATATATGCAATTATTATATCTCTGCAATAAATTTTTATTCATTATGTCTCATATCCTTTTTTATGAATAAGTTTATAATTGGAATATTTATCAATTAATATTTTAAATAATGTGATTTTAGTAATTGGCGACAATGTGAACTGATCGTTTATAATAAGAATAAAGTATAACCCCCTATTCAATTTACTTGTCGATGTCTACCTGTAATTACCTTTTTTGGTTCAAATATAAATTTTTTTTGGCCAATATTAAGAATTTTTTCCTAACACATGCACTTACTATATTTTTTTTACTGAAGGTTGAAATTCACAACCTCACATTTAAAAAAATTTCAAAAAAATTTGGTATCAGTACATTAAGAACCCCAGGAAATTTTTTTAAAGTAAAAATTAACATTGTTACATAATAAGTTTATATTAATCAGAAAAATAATTTTATTACTATAATGGAAAATTTTGTTTCTAATCAAAATGCTTCCAACAGCGAACCGAACTAGGCTTGATGGCTCGATGCGTCAAAGCGGGAACGCGTGACTCGCATTCTTAACAAACGCGCCCAAGGCTGCGTACTCCTCAAACGCCCTTACGTCCACCTTACACCGTACAAACTCCGGCAAGAACAGCCAGAAGCTGGTGGACATAACAAAAACTACGGTCAACGGTCCCGACACTGCCCTCGGCAACAGCCACCTTCCGTTCACCGCCTTTTTTAGCGCAATCTCCACCATCAAACATAATCCATGGAGGAGGAAGAACCACGTCATCCTGAACGACGGCTTAACCCGTCCTATGTAATACATCATCAACTCGTGCATCACCCCCGAAACCACAAACGTCCCCATGACCGCCGGAAGGGGCGCCCACTTTGGGCCGGCGATACGCGTGACGACGTCGAGGGTAGGTTCGTATACGGTCGGTCGCAGGATCCTTGTCACCATAAGGTTCCATCTCCTACTCCAGAAGTCTTGTAGAGACGATGAGAGAAATGGATTGTTGAACTGTGGCTCCAGCTCCATACCCAGAACAGCTCGAGCCATGGCTGCGGCTACGGCTAGGCTGAGCTCAAGTAGAAAGTAAATGTGCAAAGCGTATAAACCCAAGATGAAATTTGGGTGAATGAGATCACTGTAGTCATAGATCTTCACCATAATGGCCACAAGTATAGCCTTTATGGGATACTGTAAAGGGGTTATATACGATTTTCTGGCGATTGTGGAATTAGGGTATGTTTCAGTCTGGGATATTTTGGGTTCCTGGGGATTAAGGTTTTCGTTTATCCCACTTTGTTTGGATAGTTTCGAGGCCAATTTTGATCGGATCTGGGAAATTTTGGATTTGTGTTGTGGAATCATCTTGATGGGAAGGCAAGCGAGAAGCACGAAACGTCCCAAGGAGATGAAGGATGAGTGGTCGGAGCTGAGAGGACCTTTAGCAAAAGCGAAGAGCAAGAGTTTGAAGTTGGCGAGCCAGGAGACGAAGAAACCAGTGATGCCTGAGAAATGTACAGAGGAAATGCTGAGAGGGAGGAAGAAGAAGAGGAAGATGATGGGAAGCACGCAGATAAGTCTTATTGAGCCTTTTGGGACAATTTTGCCGATCCAATAGCAATAGCACAAAGATATGCATACTGTGAACCATACCTTACCAAGTTTCATGATCTCATTCACACCATCCATAATTGCTCAAAGCAATACAATGTCTAGTTTGTCTGATCTTAGGATGAATGATCTCTGCAATTTTTTATATTGATAGGGGGAGGAATACTGAGATAGAATATTATAATGAAATGAAAGGCAGAGGGACTTGCATTTTTTCCAACCACTTGTTAGACTTTTGATGTAGACTTGACTGTGTTAATTGGAAAGACCACATTAAAAGTTGCAGACCACCCGGTGGATTTGACCAAAATCCACCCACCCACCCATCCAAACAAAGTATTGATCAAAGTACTTCCTGCAAATGCTGAGAAAGTTCTAGTTTTGCGTTGAGGAGAAAATTTCAGTCCTGACAAATTTTGCAAGAATATCTTGGCCCTTCAAGAAAGGGAATGAAAAGAGTATGAACACACCAGGATCAAGTTCTTTTTACTGTTTCCAGATTCCTCCGTAGATATATAGGTAAAGGCCATTGACAGAGATCATAGAGTTTCAATATGGATAGATTATTCTGATTCCCTTGATGCATTATTCAACAGGTTTGTGATGAAACTATGGCGGCAAACACAGTTCCTTCCTTCCTTGCAGTGATCTCTGTCTGCTCTGGTTATTTCTGGAAAAGGATCAGCATCTGTGGCTCAGAGCATGGTAAAAATAAGGGAGGGGAAGAAAGCGTTGGAATGAAACTTCCTGTTAGTGTGTTGTGTTTGTGTAAAAAGTGGAGGAGAATGACTGAATTCTCCCCCCTCCCCTTTTGGGTTATTGATTTTCTAACATTATCCACCCTATATTTAGTTTTTTCCCCTTTTTGGTTTGGGGTGATTCCTATATTCAATTCTTCCCCCAAAAATTGCATTATCAATAAATGAGCTCATGGCTTCGGTAATTTTCAATATAATTCAAATATACATGTTATCTCTTGGATGTAGATTCATGCATTGGGAAATAACTTTTGCCTTCTTCTCCGATTATTGTTTTTTTGGGGCCAATCCAACGGACCCATTATCTTTTTGGGGATCATTTTCTAATTATGGGCCTAAATATAAGATCCACTATATGTCTATAACTGTTTTTTCAGATTCTCTGTGTCAAGTATCAGACCATGGTTTCCCCAATTTTTGCATTGGATAGGTCTAATACTTCAGATGAGCAGTAAAAAACAAGAGTTTGATAATATGGGCCGGGCTGGCCCGGTCTTTATGGGCTGGGCCCATCAGGATAAAGCCCTGTAGCAATGGTTCTCACTAGACAAAGGCGGGTTGGAAATTAGGGATGTTAGATGCCAGTTTGCTTTCATTTTGGTTTTAGTCTCCTAAATTTCAAACCATAGGTTTTGGTTCATCAAGTTTCTTTTTATTAATAAAGCCCTATAATTGAATTATAATTAAATAAAAATTTGGACCATTTTGTCCTTTGAGGGATCAAAACCTGTGGTTTGAAATTTGATAGATCAAAACTAAAATGAAAACAAACTTAAAGAATCAAAATTTGTATTAACCCAATTTTATATAATGCATGGGAAGTACTTTTATGAAATATAAAGTTCATAAAGAGATATATTATCCATAAAATGTGAACAAAGTAATGCATGTAAAAGTATGTCTAACTTTTTTCAATGGTTTTTTTTTTAAAATCATTATGAAAGCAAGATTCCCCAATCTGGAGTGCAATACAAAGAATTGAGAGTGACTGGTCATAGTTCTTACACATCCCACATTCATTCTTATCTTCTTCAAACAAACATGAGTGGATCTCAAGAATTACATCTTCCAACAAACATACCAAACTCAAAGGGGCAAAAAGTAGAATTAGTGCAAGGCTGTTGATAATAAAATTTAGAAAAAAAATTTAATAACTACGCTCCTTAAATGAATATAAACATTTTCACAGAAAAATGAGGTATTTGGACAAATTCAAGAAAAATCAGGTATTTGGACAAATTCGAGGCAACCACACAAAAATACAAGGGGCCAGCAACAGACAGAATGGGTTGGCTCAAAGGTGGCGGGCCCTCAGTCAAGGTAAAAAGAGGTGGCGGGCCCAAAATGGGCAAATTTCCAGCAAGCTTGGGGGAGGTGGTCCGGTTGACTTACACTTTTAACATATTTTATACAGATAAAAAAAACTTAAAATATACTAACTCTTAATTAAAATATAATAGCTTTTTAAATTTACTCCTATTTAATATACAAACCTTTCAAAAAAAAAAAGCTATCTAATAAAGGATGAAATAGTACATTTATGTTAAAAATTTAATAAAGTAACTTATAAATAGAATAAAAAAAATCCTCTCTCTATCCTATAAATAGGATTAGAGAAGTATTGGATTACATCTATCTAATTTGAAATTTTCAAAACAAGAAAGAATTCCATTTTTTTACATAAAAATTTATAATTATTGTTATAAAGTTGAGAATTTAGGCAATAAATTGATATGTAATTAGATATTTCAGTTGAGGTAAATTTTTGAGAACACTGTGTTGTGTGTTGACTTAATGATCCCAAT